CACACACACACACACACACACACACACACACACACACACACACACACACACACACACACGGGCACATATGTTCGTGTATATAAAGAAAGACACACTCTCGAGCAAAATCTTATGCAAGAACACGCAGCATATTAATTATACCAATACTCATTGTCATGCGTTTCTCTCTCTGTCTCTCTCTCTGTCTCTCTCTGTCTCTGTCTCTGTCTCTCTCTGTCTCTCTCTCTCTCTCTCTCTCTCTCTCTCCTCCTCCTCCTCCTCCTCCTCCTCCTTTTCCTCCTCATCCCCGTTCCTCATCCTCCTCATTCCTATCTTTCTCTCTCTCTTACACAATCATGCATAGGTCCAATTAAGCGAAGAAGACAAACCAAAGTGAAACTTTTATCATAGAAACCCAATTTTCCCTCCATAAGGTAGGCACAATGCTATTGATGTGTTACCCAAGACCGACAATAACTATTCTTCAGCCTTGGGTATGACCCTATGCGTTCTCATACTCTCCTACTTCGGGTGAGGTCGCGTGTACTCTGAGCTTCGTGGTATGACCATGACATTATCCTCACACCAAACTTCTCTTTTCTGACAGACAATAATCAAGTCTCGGAGCAGGAAAGATGGCTGCGAGTATATTGAGGGAGGAGTTTCGTCTCAAACATTTCCGGCTGAACCACCACAATGACAGGGCCTTCTACTGTGGCCAGGTGAGACACTGAGTGACGTCAGATTCACGTCTGAGCTGTGAATGTAGTGTTCCTGTTTTGTTGTTCTGTCACATAGACTGAGTGACTTCAGATTGACGTCTGTCCTTTGTATCGGAGCACTGGGAACAGCGACTCTGTTTTTAAAAAAACATGGAAACATTCGTCCGGGGAACAGCGTCTGCGTTAAGCGAATACGTCGTCTTGATGGCATTGATTATGGTATCGATGAAGCCCGCCGACGATAAACAATTTGTTTATAAACTTATTGAATGCTACGTTCTATCGTAAAAATGATACCAAATTCGAAACCAGCGTATCTAAACTAAATGACTCGCGGTTAACTCTTTTTCTTGCTGGATTTAGAAGATCGCATAAAGTTGTTTTATCACGGTAGCACCACAAGGAGAAAGGACGACTAGTACTGTCAGTTTTAACTAATCTCGAAATAGACCCCTACTGTCAGAATTGGGGCCCGGGGGTTTGGGGGGCCCGCAAGCAAGGGGAAAAGAGAGAGAGAAAAAAGAAAGAGACAGACAGACAGACAGACAGACAGAGAGACAGAGAGAGAGAGAGAGAGAGAGAGAGAGAGAGAGAGAGAGAAAGAGAGAGAGAGAGAGAGAGAGAGCATATTATATTGGTATGTAATAGATATGCTCCAGTAAAGTGATTGAATATGCTTACTTTGTTGGGTCATTAGATTGCAGTTGAGGTTTGTTGGGGCGGGGGGGGGGGGGAGGAGGGGCCCGAAGTTGATTGCTGCCCCAGGGCCCGACCTGGCTCTCGACGGCCCTGGGCATACACACTGTATTTGATACTGTACAGTCTACTGTATGGTGAGTTGGGCGAAAGACAGTTATTTTCTTTGTTGAGATGTAGAATCTAGAGGCCAAGAGATCCGACGAATGTCTGACGATTAATTCCAGAGACGACAGTAACAAATTATTAATGAGAGGGCGTACGAAGAGCTCGCATCATAATATTTTTCAAACACTTTTATCAAGATACAGCTAAAGACTTTATGGTGAAAAAAAAACCCCATCTCGTAACAAAAGTGTGAGTAAACAAAATGTCGATTTTTTAGCCAGTCTTTTGTCCAATTAACCCTTTATTTTATTGTTGTAAAGTTGAAAATCGAGACGAAATGTGACATGTCAGGTCTAGCTGTATTCGATCATGTAGGCGATTACAGCAAAATAAACTAAAACAAAGAAATATAGTAAAATGTTAATCGCTGTTCCCTGGTAAAATTACGTCAGCAGTCGCTGTTCCCCGGTGGAGCCCCTGTTTGTGTTAGCTCTACAGGTTATTTATTTTAATCAGCCCAAAATGACGTCATATTTGTGTTTCGGAGGAAACTGCCCTACATCGTATTTGTAACAACGCTATAATACATCTTTGGCGATTTTTTGTTTGTTTTTGTTTTTGTTTTTCGTAACTTGGAATGACGCCATGTGTTTCAGTGGAAAGTCCCCCACGTCCTGTGTGTGTCAGTTCTACGGGTTACATCTTTTTAATCAACCCTAATAGACAGCATTTTTTTTTTGGTGTGTTTTAGTGGAAACTCTCCCACATCGTATTTTGTGACAACGCTATAGGCTACATCTTTGATGATAATAATATTTGTTTTGTTTCGTTACTTGGAATGTTGTCATGTATTTTAGTGGGAACTGCCCCACATCCTGTTTGTGTTAGTTCTACAGATTACCTTTTTATAAAATGAACCCTAAATGACGTCATGTGTTTCAATGGACCCCCCCCCCCCCCCCCCACATCCTGTTTGTGTTAGCTCTACAGATTACTTTGTTTTTAAAATAAACCCTAAATGACGTCTTGTGTTTCCGTGGAAACTGCCCCTGTTTATGTTGGTGCTATACATCTTGACGAGTCTTTTGTTTTGATTTTGTTTTTCGTAACTTGAAATGACGCCATGTGCTTCAGTGGAAACTTCCCAACAATGTGTTTTTATGACAGCGCTATAGGCTACATCTTTTGACGATACGTATCACGACGAAGTGGAATCAGGCGCTTGTCAATTTTGGGGCATGTTGAGTTATTAGCCTCATCTTAAAGCTTGTTCATTTGTCGTGTTTTAACTTTAAAAATACCTATCTATGTTGAATATTTTTAATTAAAGAAGGCGGAAATCACCTAGTGTCTGGGGTAAAACAAACGAGAAAATGGCAGCTAAAGTTTGGTGATTTCCAAGACTTTGGTGTCCTTGAAAACTGCACTTTACAATGTTTGTGCCGCTGATGTACGGTTTTCAATTCAAAAAATCTTTACAGAAAAGAGTTTTTAAATGGACATAAAAGACGTTGAGCCAAAAAAAAAAAGAAGATTTTTCGCAATTGCCCAGTTGCCAGAAAAAAACCGGTTTCTTTGATTTCATTATTTTGACGTGAGCATTATTCCACGACGATGTCTCATATGTGAGGCAGTGTGGTGAAATCAGGCGCTCGTCTATTTTTGGGCATGTGGAGGTTTTGGTACAATTTTAAAACCTGTTCATTTGCCTTACTTTAGATGAAAAAAATATCCATCCATGTTCAATAAAAGTCGAAATATTCGAGATTTGCAGGAGGTAGGGTCGCCTGGTTTCGGTGATGGAATTAGCGAGAAAATAAGCGCTAAATTTCGGTTACTTCAATAGCTTGCTGGTCCCTCAAAAAGGAAAAAATGACATATTTTGTGCCTTTAATTAACGTTTTTCAGTCATATTCACACTGAAATGTGTTTTGGTGTGGACAAAAAAGTATTGAGCTGAAAAAAACAAAATTTGATAAAAATTCCCAAACCATCTGGAAAAGGCCGGTATCTTCGATTCCGTTAATTTGACGAGCGCCTGATTCCACCACGATACCTCACTTATAATATTATTGTTTTTTTTTTTACGTAACTAGAAATGACGTCATGTGTTTCAGTGGAAACTGCCCCACATCGTGTTTGTGTTGGCTCGAGTGTTACTGGCCGGATACTCTGTCTACGCCATGATCCACCTCGTGGTTAACCACTACGAGAATGGCAACAAGGGAGCCCTGATGAGGTTCTTCACTGTCTGGTCTTACATCCTCCTCATGATCCATCTGGTGTACGCCGCGCTGCTCAGTATTGTCTTTTTCCGGTGAGTTTTGGAAATATTGGAAAGGGGGTGGGTTTGGGTGCTCAAAGAAAAGACAGTCATGGCTGTCGTTTCGGTTAGTTTTGCTTTGTTTTGTTTGTTTTGTTTTGGGTAGTCTATTTTTTTTAGGGGGGGGGGGGGGCGGAGAGTGTTGAGTTGGTGGCTGGATTTTTTAAGGAGTATAAATATTAGGGCTTCAAGTACTTGCGTATGGGGGAGGGGGAGTGTGTTACTAGCTGAGTGTATCTGTGTGTGTGTGTGTTTTTTTGAATGTGTTTGTGTGTGTATGTGTGTGTATGTCTTTGTGTGTGTGTATGTTTGTGAGTGTGTGTGTGTTTGTGTTCGTGCTGATGAAAACAACGTAGTCCTACTATCGTTTGCTTTACTTGGTCTACAGATGGATATGAAGAAACAGAATGATAGTAGAGTTCGTGGTTGAAGAGTGCGAGTTTTTCACCTGTCATGTAACAAACAGGTCACGCTGCGACATGATAATAATAATAATAATAATAGATAGCATTAAAATTTGTATAGCGCATAACCCCGCTCGAAAGCAAGCTCTATGCGCTTTACACTATATTATTACCCCAGCAGACCATAGAACACTCAGAAACACTCTCAGCTTCCCGGGAAGCATACAGTGCAAGCTGCGGATTTCACGCGCTCAAACACTAATTAACTCACAAGATCTTTCACTGTCTATTGCTGGGTACCCATTCCCACCTGGGTGAAGTGAGGAAAATTCGTGTAAAGTGCCTTTCCCAAGGACACAACGTCAGGTCCCGGACAGGATTCGAACCCACGACCTTACGGTTGCGAGTCCGAGAGCCTAACCACTAGGCCACCGACGCCTCGTAAATAATCTTAAGGTTAAAAGATTTGAAAACAAACACAGACAAGAGGTAGCGAAAGGAAAAATAGACCCGTTCTTATCAGCCACGGCTGTAAAAGAGGAGAGCAGAATCTGCCTTGTTCTTTGTTGAAGGTTATCATTGCTGAGATGTTTCCATCAGCGTTTGCACAAGCAAGATAACAATGCTATTTCAAAAGAGGTTCAAACAAAGCCATGGTATCTTTCCCCTGATTAATTTTTAAACTTTTCATTGATCAGTCGTAATTACATCTCCTTAAACTGACTGGCCCTGTGACCCGGTATAGAAAGTGGCAGAGCGCCAGTTCTGAAGAACACAAGCGAGTGTATATTCTTGCAGGATCGTACGTATAGGTTTGTATGAGGGGGTGAGATGCAAAACCCACTAAGCAAAATTTTTTTGCTTAAAAATGCACACTGTTACCGGCTGTCAGATGCACAAAGTGTTTTCTGCCAAAACCTAACGCATACTTCATAAAAGCCACCGAAAAATTTTCTTTTTACACATGTTTGTGCGTATAGCAGCATTACAAAAAGCTGATTTTCTCCAAACTGCTAAAATGGATGTAGCAGGTGTTGCATCTCAGCCTCTCGTATGTACACGTCTGCCCAGCGGGGAAGTGGTTAAGAAGACCGAGGTTTATTGTGTGTAAAGCGCATAAGAGGCCACAGATCATACTTGCTGGTCGTATAGGATATAATGTTCGGGCAAAAGTTTACCCCTTACAAGGACATGCATTTACAAAGGGTTAAAAAAGGGCCCGTTCTTATCAGCTACCATAACAGAAGTGTGAAATTGAATCTGCCTTGTGGGGGGGGGGGGGGTTCAAAACAAAAATAAGAGAAAAGGGATCGTACGTTCGCTGGTATAGTCCACTTTCTAATACGGCTCAGAAATTAAGCGCTAAAAGTTCCAGTTATTTGAAAGATAAAATTATGGTTTATCAGGACTGAAACTATTTTATCAGACGTCAGCCTAAATATTGGAAAGTGTTATTTTACTTCACAAAAGGTTTATCTTATGAATGGGCTGTCGCTTTCTTTAAACCTACACGCATGTATTGTGCAAGCAATACTAGGATTCATCGAGTTTGGTTTTTTTTATTTCGGTTTATTGCCAGTTTGGCTTGTTTGCTTAATCTCATTCAGAAATGGGCATTGTTAGGAGAGAAGACATGCTGAGGAGGAGGGAGAGGGGGGGG